TAATTTTAGGCTGAATGCCTCAAGAATATCTTCAAGTTAAAATTTTTAACCTGACAACAATGGTGAAAGAAATAGTGAAGAAAAAATACAATTCTTTATTGTAAAACGATAACTATGACCTTATTAGATTTATCAATTGAGTTTATAATGTGACCCAACACATTCTTGCCTTTTATATTTTTAATCGGTTGACTTAATAAATATCAAATTAGTTGGATAATTAAGTTTGACACAGGCTTTTCAAACGGGCTATTTAATTGGGTTCGTCTCAGTCCACAGTCGGTTATCTATTTTTATTTTTATTTTATTTTTTTTTTGTTGATTTCGCCTCTAATAATTAACTTGGCATCATTTCCTAGACAAAGAGAAATCTCGTACAGAGTTGATTGCAAACATGTTCGACTCTATTTGTTTGATCGACAAAATTCGATTAGCTATTTGAGTTTGGCTTGTTTAAATATAAAAGCGATTTGAGATTGAGTTTTTTCAATTCAAACGGACATATGTTAAATGATATTTTGTTTCTAATCATAACCAAAACTGATTACAGGTCGAAACCGTCGATATCGGGTCGAGAGTTGGAGGACCATGAACCGACGTGAACATATGTACGGGTCAGTTCATTGAACTGTCGGTTATTGGTCGGCCGGTTCATAAAAAAAATAATAATTAAAATAATATTTTTTTAAAAAAAGGCCGAACCTCGGATTCCGATTTCAATCCGGAACCGAAACTGTATGTTCAAAATGTATAAACTATTAGGTATTTTAAATGAATCGAACTGGTCAAAACCACGGACCGGTTCAAGACCCATGGTCAACGGGCCAGTTTGTGTCGGTTCGGGCCGAACCGACAGGCTCATGACCATATCCAGAAGGTTTTAATAATAACTACAATTATATGCAGCCCCAGGTTAAAAAATTTCCTGGCTACGCCCCTGAATACAGGGAACCCTTCGACGTCTTAGATTGTGTTTATGCTTCATGTCTTTGGGTCAACCTTGTGGAGTGTTTCTTCTCTCATTTGGAAAGTAGTTTTGTCTCCCACTAGAAAAATATTGTATGCAATGTATTTGGCTCTGGATGGATCCCCTCATACGAGTCTTCTTTCACCTTTGTGTTTGGTGTATTAAATGTAAAGGTGATTTATATTGCCACTTGACAATCAAAAACACCATTTTGGAGTTTAATAATATTTGTTTCTTTTTGAAATAAAAAAAAAAAAAAAAAAANNNNAAAAAAAAAAAAAAAAAAAAAAATGAACACCTTGAAGTTGTCTTAATCATAAATCGCTTTGAACGTTTTTAAACTTTTCGTTTGCCATAAAAGATTGTATCGTTACTTCATTACTTGTGTTGGAACACAAAGCATGTGAGTTCCACAAGGATAATTTTTCAAGAAAATACAATGTTTAGTAGAAGAATTAATAATTTTCTTATATAAAATAATCTGATAAAAAAATTAATTAACTTTGATGCAATAAAAAATATTATTATTTAGAAATATGTGACTAAGGTTTTATACAAATTCGGAGAAATGATGGAGTTTAATTTAATTTTATGTTTAAAAATTAAGAGTAGAAAAAGATAGAAAATACAACATGAAACGAATGAACAGTGTGTGCCCTTTTTTTTTTTTTAATCAGGGAATTAAAAAACTTTTTGATAGCATCCAATCATGTCAAAATGAGTCCAAATTTGAAGATAAACCAGGCAAACTTTGCACTTCAAAGATTGAGATTTTCCACTCCCACAATTATCCATCGGCCTCAAACTTAGGCATCAAACTCATGGAGACCGTAGATTCATTCTTAGATGATTAAAATCAAAGGACAGAACACAGGAGCTCACCATGACCTCAAGCAATATTCAAATTATAGCCCTCGATTGAAGGAGTTCCTGACCGAGCTTTAAGTCTCTTCGAAAGAATGCAATAGCTGGATTCATTTTGCTATGAACAATGATCCAAGTAGAGGGAAACTAAGGAAATAAATCACCTATAATTGAGGCAGTAAGAAAGACTAGGGACAAATTCTTGAACTACTTCACCCCTAAGTGGTCTTCTCTGAAGTCAAAATACCAAAAAACAACCATACTGGCATTCGCTTTATTTTCGGTTTCCAGGCGCATTATCCCTTTAGAATTTCACTATTCATCTTCGCTCTCAAATTTAGAATAATATTTTTGCAAAATAAAACCTATGCTTGTCCAATATCTAACTCCCTCGATGGCTCTGGCTCAAATTAAGGCTTCAGCCTTCTTAAATAGAACCCAAAAGCAACTTCATAGAACTTGTCAAAACGAACGTGCAAGAAACTACAACACACTTATATATATCTACAAACGTCTAACTAAAAATACAGAGAATAACATCACTGATAAAAACTGATTTAGGCTACTGCAGCATGCTTTCGATCTCGAGATAAGGCAAAGCTAAAATATAGATGAGATTGTGCTGTCAGCTTCACCAAATTTACATACTTTACAAACTGTGTTTTAGTTTTCAAGGAGTTGATGACCCTTTTGTATCTACCCACCCAAATTTTCAGGGTTTATAATTTATGTGAGTCTCAGTTAAAAGGGTCTGGGTTGTTAGATGCATATACAAGGAACAGTTAGTAACAAGCTCTTTAATTCAGCAAACTTTGCCATATACTTTGTTCACTCAATTCAATTACATATTCTAAAATCCCCACCCCACAAAAAAAGATTCACCTAAAATACAAACACTACCTAAGTATTCGAAAAAAACATGATATATATCAATTGAGGAGATTATTCTATAAGGACATGAGGGTTAGAAACTAAAATTTAAATTCAAGATGAAAAACCTCTTCTGTTCTAAAGTAAGGAATTTCAAATCCTTAAGCTCCACACTTCCATCTACGTTTGGAGTCAATTAGGTTGATCTCAAAACTATCTGTAACTGAGTCATTTGAAATCCTTACAACCAGTCTTTCCTAAATCCAAACGTTTCAATCCCAACACTTTCACCATAAGCCACCATAGCATTTTGTATACTCAAATTCCAAAATTAGCATCAAGGTCCTAGAAGAAGAATGCGCATGTAGACAGAATATCATAATTGCAAATAACCGATAACTATGCAATTACTCATTCAGAGAACAATTCTTAACCATGCTATGTTCCAGAAACCCAAAAAAAGACACAGCAGCGTATCGAATCAGTTGAGAAACAAAGGAAAAAAAACACAGGAGAGTATGTAAATCAGTAGCATTTACAGAGTCACTCTCTTTTCTGAGTCTGCACACCAAATCCAGTCATATTCACCAAAAAAAATATGTCTCCTCTCCACAATTCAAAACCCAAGCCATCAAACAATTACTCAGGGCAAATTTCCACAAACACTGGCAGTCTCTTTTTAGAACTCTTACCTGAAAGCACTTTCTCTATGTAAGCATTCACATCTTCTTTGGAGGGATTCTCAGCAAAAGGCAAAGTGACCTCAACCCCATCATCTACAGGACTCCAGTCCGATTGAGGCGGGTTGGTAACCGGGATCTTGCTGCTTGGCAATGCACTTTCAGAATGTTGTTTGGCTTGAACAGGTGATGGGGAGAGGGCCATTGCTGGTAGCACTGATGGAGATGAAAAGGCTTCTTCTGCTGGTGATAACGGTGCTGGTTTGGCTTGGCAGATTGAAGAGCAGTTTTTGCCATAAGATGGTGGGGTTGATCCCTCTAAATTGTTGCTCGATTTGAAAATCTACAACAAAGGGAAGATTGCGAAAATATTTAAAGATATACAAGAAATCAAGCATTACATATACAGAACTCAAATCATATTTCAGATTCATGAATTGAAATTAAAGCAATATTGTTGAGGGCAGGACAACGAATTAAAATAATTAGGCTAATTAGGTCTCCAACCTCGAGTTTGATCTTGCCGGAGGAGCGAGGGGGACGCCGCAGCTCCTCCTTGCCGTGCGCGAACTGTGTTGCACATTAAATTATTTTTTCTTTTTCCAGTAAACATATTCACACATCACATCGCTGTTACCCAACGCGCTTTAATTTTTCCTACGAAGTAAGAGTCGTGAAACCATGGAGCAGCGTAGATTAATATTGAAAACGAAGTAAGAACCGTTGGATCAAAAGTGACCTGGCATTCGGATCCAAATTGGCACGACCCGCAAGTCTCCCAGAAGCGACATATCCTATTCTTGTGCGGTTTGATGCTCTCGCTCCCGCCGCCTGACGACGGCGATGGAGTCGAGTTCGACCTCCCGCCTGAGAGATCGCTGTTGTAGGTGCTAGATGACATCAGCGCCGACCTCATTCTCGATTCGCCGCCGCCTTTGCTGGACTTCGATACCGGAATCCCGTCCATGACGATCACATCCTCCTCGACCTTCACTGGCGTGATGAACGCCGGCGGGGAATCGGACTTAGGATCGGCAGCGCAGAGGTATTTCATCAGCGGGGAAGGGGAGCCGGAGCTATCGGATGCGTACGGGTCGAATAGTGGACTGCGGCGGCGACTGTGTGTCAGATTTAACACGTCGATGGGAGGGATGACGCCGGAGGACTTGAGCTTCGGAGTTTTCGATTCGCGCTGGATTTCCATGGAGAAACTTCTGCAATCGATCATCGAGCACGCAATTAGAACATCATTCAGTAAATTTCGTATTCTTCAGCTGTAATTCTCTCTGAAAACAGAAAATCGGAACCTTCACGGCGAGAAATCCGAAGGAACTATACGTAACAGTAGGAAAAACGATTACTTAAGCTGTTGATCTTCATAGAGAAACTCAAGCCACAGTAATAGATCTAAAACGAGCAATCAGAAAAATGAGGCAGAACGAGTTTATGCAGAATTACACTTCAAAAGCATCGTTTTCTTAAACTTACAGAACACGAAAATCAAGCAATCTCTCGTTCACAGAACGAAGAAAAAAATCCAGAAAAATACGCGAGGTCAGCGGCTCAGAGCAAATGAATGAGAAGTTACCTGAGATCGGAGAGAGAGCTTCTGGTGTGATCGGATTAATCTGAAGTCGGTGAGCAGGGCAAAACCAGACAAATCGAGGTGAAGAGGGTGAATTCAATACGCAACATTTCCATCTTCGCCGCAGGGATTGTGCGCCATAATTTGAAACTCTGGTCCGTGCTATTTATACTGCATTGTTGCAGGAGAAGGATCTAAATTATAAATACTAATACTGTGCTACTTGAGATAATGAGACTCGTAGAATTCCGAACCGTCCTAAAAATATAATCAAAATCGCTCCGAATTGAAAAATAATCTTTGACCATTTGACTTATTCTAACCGAATCAAACCAGAAAAGTAATTGGTACGATACCTGGAATTTCACAAATATTCGTACCGAGAACCGAACTGAATCATCTCATCCGTACTGAACCGAAAAACTAAAATTAAAAACCAAATTATGACATTAGATGTGTGTTATATTTTATGTGAACTTTAATCCTATATAATTTGAATATTTTTAAAATCCAAATAAAATATATTAATAAAAATTAAATTTCACTAATCTACAATTGATTTTTCTCGGCTTCAAAAAATTATTTAAAAATGTATGAAATGTTAAATAAATATTTTAAGAAATATTTATTAAATTATTCAAATTGTACTTAATTTTTTTATACTTCTTAGTCTTATTATATCTTATGAATAAAATTGTATGAAAGGTTAAAAATTTTTTTTAAGAAAACAACTATATTATATTTTGTTAGGATTTTATATTTCTATTACTAGTTGTAAAAATTTAGTCTTAACAAAAATTTTGAGTTACTTTTAAAGTTGATTTCGAAATATAATCTTTAACATTGTGAAGTATTAATGAATGGTGATTTTTTTTGAAAATAAAAAGCATATAAAAAATATAAATATAACTAGATAGTCATTCAAAAAATTTTAAAAAAATAACTAAAAATCCCCAGAGCTCCGAACCGAACCGTTCAGATAGTCTCGAATACTTTTACCAAAAAAAAAAATAAAAAAAATTCGAACTGAATCGTCCCTATTTTTTGGTACAGTTATAGAAATTTCATTTTAGTGATCTTCGAATCTCGATATGGTTCTGGAGATTTCTCAGTCTCCGAATTGTACCGACCCATGCTCACCCCTAATTGAAACGACAACCCTAATAACATCATTCAAATTACAAAAGAACATAACTAATTTTAAATTACGATACTATATATTTTAACACGCAATGAATAGATATGAAGATTTTAAAGTGGCCTATTTTTTTTTCAAACAATAATTATAATAATAACTGAAAAACTCAAAAGAGTACACCTAAGGTGTCAACGGACAACATTAAAACTAGCATGAAGACTGGATCATCACCTTAGAATTACAACTACAACCAAAGGGGTACAAAAGAACTCCAAAAAGGAGACTACACAACTCCATGAAGGAGACAGTAGTTGGACTTGAACTAAAACACTAAAAGAAAAAGTAAACAAAACAACTGCCACAGACACCTAATTGATACAATAAGGCCCTCCCCAGCCACCGCCTAACATCACCTACACAGAAACCTCACAAGACAACAAATCGAAGATGGTCTACAAAGAAGAGCCAGGCCTCAACCAAAATGTCAATCCAAAAAATCCACTCTCTAATACGACTATAACTAGCCAGATCTGAGATTCTCGTCCCCGACTAATCTTTCCGTGCAAATGACCATCTCTAAACATCACCCGACGGTCACAACCCACCAACCTCTCACCCCAAAACACAAGAAAAGGTGGTCACAACCCCGATCGGGAAGTCGTCCCCTAAACAGAAACATAAAAGGCACAAGGGGGAGGAGGGATGAGGGCGCCGACCTCGACATCGCACACGACGTCCGATTCCCACAGTCCACCCACCTCTGAGCAAAAGCAGAGGCCGACGCGCCTAATAAAAACCTCCGAACGAGAGGACGCCGACCTTGGCGCATGAAAAATACAGAGGGGAGAGAAGGCGAGTTTGTCGGCCCCAATGCCGCCCGCCCAAAGGATGGAAGAGGGAGTTGGAGAGGCGATGAGGAAGAAAAAAATGGATTGAGGTTTTATTTGTTTTTTATTTCAGCAGAGGAAGCGAGAGCGACTTTCAGTGAGAGAGATACTTTCAGTGTGGGCGCGGCGGCGCATGTTACGCGCATGATTCATTGGTCTCCACCGGCTGCGGGATGGGTTAAATTAAATACCGATGGGGCCGTCAATATTGCCACGGAAATGAGTTGTGCGGGAGGCTTAATTCGGGACGAGGTGGGGCGATGGCTTTCGGGTTTTGTCTTTAATATTGGTTTTTGTACTATTACAGGAGCCGAGCTGTGGGGATTATTTCAGGGGCTATCGTTGGCGTGGTAGATGGGTTATCGGCAGATTGAGGACGAGGTTGATAGTTTGTGTGTGAAAAGAATGGTATGCGAATACAATGGGGAGTTCGGGCCCCATGAGGCTCTGGTTCGAGCTATTCGGGATCTAGTTCATCGAGATTGGACTGTTCGTATCCGTCACATATATAGGGAAGGGAACTTTGCTGCGGATCAGTTGACGCATATGGCGGCATCCTACCAGACTGGTTTACATCGCATGGGATCCCCCCCTGAGGGATTCGGTGTGTGGCTCGATCACCACAATATCGGGGTGGCATATCCTCGTCATGTTCTAGCTTAGGCCTTAGGCCTCCTTCTTTGCACCAAAAAAAAGAGAGATACTTTAAGTTTTAAGAAGGCCTATTCAAAATAAATGTTTTTTCACCCATACAAAGTGAAAAAAAAAAAGAAAAAAAAAAAAGAAAAAAAGGAAATGTGATGACACAACGGCACGATGGGGGATGATCGTAAAATAATAAAGGTTAATTTATTATTATAATTGTTCGACTGCATATCCTATGCATGCATGTGCAGCAATATAATGAGGTCTTTTTCAATCGTATAATGTTTAACTAATTATGTAAATTATTAGATTACAAAAATTAAAAATACTTACAATACATAATTTTTTTTTTTATGAATTATGATAAATCGAACCAACGAATTATTTGTCGAACTGACATATAAATGTAAGGATAAAAAAATCAAAATATTTATATCATATATTGTTACGAATTATGATGTCAAATCAAACGATTAT